GGGAAGCTCCCCAACAGCTTCAGCTATAGAAACAGCCACAAAGAAATCACTGAGCTTCTCTGCTACATCTTCATCATCCCCATCTGTCCCTTTTATACCCTTGTGATCAGTATTCCCACTGATTTCCTAGCTGCCTTTGCGGCTTTGATATATTTAAAGAGCCTTTTATCAGCAGTTAGAGCATCCTTTGCAAGGCAATTTATGGATTCTTATTTTTAGCCCTATTTATTTCCTGTTTAATTGTGACCTGACATGTTTTATGGGTTTCCCTGTTCTTAGACCACTTTGGGCTTTTAGGGTTGGGTTTGGGGATTTTTTTGACTAGTTGCTGGAAAAATCACTATTGTCAGCTCACACCCCAAAACCTGGGAGAAGTCAATTTAGTCCTCCTGGGAATGCTTAATAAGCAAAGCTGCTCCATCTGCAAACACCAGACACAAGGCTTTGAAACAGGGAGCATTACTCGGCTTAAAAAAAAAGGGTAAAGGGTGAGAAACTGGGAAAAAATAGCAACTGATGACTTTGCAGTTACCAAACTTGACAAATGACAGTCCTCCTCTCGGGAGTGGCAGATGGATGAAGCAGTGCTAGGCTTGCCTTGCTTGCCTTTCTGTGGTTTGTGGCCCTGGGCTAATGACCCCCAAATTTCAAGCCGGATCCTCTGTCCCTGGGTTGGGCCAGGGTCCAGTCACCCTCCTGAGCCATGGTGGTCTCCCCAAAAAACAGCTAGGGACAGTGATGTTCACTGGGACATCTGCCTGAATCCCTTGAGCCCTCACCTGAGTTTCCCTAAAAGTTTTCTGTACCAGGGGTTTCTGTTGGGGAACCCATTCCTCGTGAGGAAGGGAGCACTTCTTGCTAGAGGAGAGGCTCCTTTTCCTTTACCCCTGTTCCTCCTGTTGGAGGGAGTGCTGCCTTGAAAATAACAAGCCATCAAAGTCAAAGGAAGTACGCAAGAAGTGAAGAGTCAAGCCCTTGGCTCTGCAATGGTGTCTTACCTTCATCGCTTGCTCTTGCTTGTTTATACCTCCAGCCTGGCACATCGCATGCAGGATTTATGTAAAAACAGTCTCAGAAAGGAAACAAGGAGTGTTTTACACCAGCAGGTAACCAGAAAAATGCAAAATGCTTCCTGCTTTCAAGCCTGAAACACACTGCCTTTCACATGCAAGTTTGGATGCTGGTCTTTGCTGGGGAGCGTTTGGATGCAGGGTTTTATGTCTCGTTTTTGAGGCTGGTTTCAGGCATAAGCAGTGCAAACAGCACAAGATCTGTCAGGCCTGATGAAGCCCATCCTTACCCCACTGTCCCATCACATTACTGCGGCACAGCTTCTCCAAGGCAGCTGCCCTGACCCAGGCTCTTACCCCACAGCCATCCACAGCACCATACTCCACCCCTACCACCCCGCATCACTTGAATATACTCAGGTGTATCCAGATAAATAAAGAATGGCATGTGACTTAAGTGATTCCAATACCCCCATAGAAGTATGTGTTATAACCATGCAAACCCCTGTGCCCGACACATTTACCATTTTTTAGTACACCTGGTGCAGATGCGCCAAGCAATCTCCTAGTGTAATTTTTGGTCAGGACAAAAGTAGGTGGCAGACTTGAGTGGCACCATCTTCCCACATCCTCTGTGCGTTACATGCCAGCAGGATGCCCTGTATCTTGGGGGAGCAGATGGATGGGAGATCCCAGGACGTGAAACGAGGTGTGGCAGTTCCCTGAAGCCTCTCACCCTGCCTGCAGGCATGTCCTCTCTCACACCGATGGGTGAGGGTCACACTCAGCTCCTTTTCCCATGCCCAGTTGGATTTTGAAGGATGGACAGCTGAAACAATGCATGAGCCAAGTGGCAGCAGTCATAAAACACCAGAAAGAACAATTTTCCATGATCTGATTTCCCAACAGAATCACACGTTGCTAATAGTCAAACAGAAGTGAAATATCTGAGAGTTTGCCCTTTCGGTACAGAATTCCAGTCCAGATAAAATAGCTGTAGCAGCCTTTGAAATGCTAAAGAGTAGTAAGCTTACAGTAGTATCTGATAGGCCTGCCCAGCACAGGCTAAATGAGAACTGGCTGCAGTTGCAGAAATTAGCTTTGAACTAGAGCAATGAAAATTCCTCTGCAGTTAAATGACGCAAACACCTGACTATTTTTGCTGCTTTTATTATCAATGACAGCAAATATCTAGATATCACACCCTCAATAAAGTTTTACTGCATTAAAGTTTCGTTTATCGTTGAGCTTTCAGGTACATTTCCAAGCCCTATTGCTTTTCGAAAGAGTAAGAGATAACACTTAAAAGCCTTTTCATGTGCCTCTGTAGCAGGCTGCTGTTACACGTATTTTAAGGATCCTCTGCACTAAGCTGATGGAACCAGGCAATTTACCTCAATGAAAAACCATGACGGATGGGCTGTTACTCTTGATATAGAGAAATCTTTTTATTAGACTCCACATAACCCCAAGTTTCAGTCTGCCATACAAAGAAGGGGAGGAGGAGGTACCCAAGCCAAAGCAACCGGCTGAACAAGGTAAAAGTCTACACTGAGCTTCATGATTTTTTGCCATTTCTTCTACCTGTATCCCACCCATTTTTCAGTGTCTCACTCCATGCAAACTCCCCGGAGTACACTGAGCTTCATGATTTTTTGCCATTTGTTCTACCTGTATCCCACCCATTTTTCAATGTCTCACTCCAATGCAAACTCCCTGGAATGTTCTGCTGGCAGCAGAACCTTTTCCTGCTGCTGAAAAATCAGGGAAAAGAGGAAAAGGAAAGGACTTAGCAGAGGGATTAGAAGCAGGGAGCACCTCCTTCACCCAAGAAATGGTGGGGGGACACAGGGCTCAAAGAAAAAGAAGGGGGCAGCAGGCAGGGGGGGCCCTACATTAACGAAAGGGAAGGGAGCTGGTCCCCCTTGTAGGGCTTTTCTAGCTGGAGGAAGGATGGGACCTCTCCTCCTCTTGTGCTAAGGGTAACCACCATGCCTTGCTTTGCTCCTCACGGGTGAGTACTGTCAGAGGAAAAGTCAAGAAAATAAGACCAAATCTCTACCATCCTTTGAATAAGGTGTCATGAATAGCTAAATCCAGCTAGCCCTGCTCAGATGGAGTAAAGGTCACCTTGTGCATGTTGAGATGCACGCAGCCAGTGGAGGGTGGCTAAGGCCACCAGAACCTGGCCTCCTACAGACACCTGCCAACCACAGGCGCTGTGCAGCCAGGTGACAGCAACAAAGGGGACAGGAGTCAACGGGAAGAAAGAAACAGTGAAAACCCAGGAAAACAACAGAGAGAAAATGGTACCTTTTCTCACCGGGCTACTTCTGAACTACTGCTCATTGCAGGCAGTTCAGAGAAAGCAGGGTCTATCTTCTTTTGCTAGAGAAGCCATAAGAGAAAGATCAGGACTGTTTAGTTCACAGTTTTCAACAGCATAACTGGTGAGTGGGACCTCATTTTGATCACCGAGAGCACTGGAGCAATCCCTCTGCATGCGCGTCCTGGTAATCTCTACAGCCACATACAGTGTTCTCTACCACTGGTACCCAAACTTGTCATTTAAGCTGAAAGACTTTTTTTTTAGCTGTGTGACATTAACAGACCCATATGCACAAAGCTGCCACCACAGAGAGCAGCTTGTCCAGCATTTTCAAAGGAGATCCAGCTGCATTCATTACCTGGTTCCCACCGAAAGCAAATACAGAAAATTGGTGCCAGCCTTACAGCAATAAACATTTTAGGTTCATTAAGATTTAATATTTCTGATCGGAACCTCTGAGTGAAAGCTGGGTGCTGATGCAACCAGTCTGTGCACACTTCCGTCCAAACTCTGCACAAGTTTTGACATAAAATAGTCTCTGGAGTTGTAAAAAAAAACATGCTTACAGCACTGGGCAGCAACATAAGAAAGCCTTGGTACTGAGAAACAATAACGTTTAATAGGAAAAGTTAATCTGCATATATACAAATCAAAACACAAAATATAACATGGAATTAAATGATGCTTTAAATGAACTTAACCTATAAATATATATACATATTTGTGCAGATATATATTTTATATATATACTATATATAATGAAATATTAATGCTAGTCAATAGATAATGCACACTCAGTAAAGTACAGTAAAAAGTGGATTCTTTTACAGACAGATTTATTGAGTGTATGTAAGAAAAAAAAAAACCAACTAAACTTTAAGATCATTCAGTCAAAACATAAAGAGTGCAAGAGAAAACAAAATGCTAACACTTTCCACAGGAGCTGAGAATGTAAAATCAATGTAGTTGTGCAAGGTGGAGAACAATAGTGTTTGTTTGAAGATATTGTTTCTTGTCATTGTATTGTGAAGGAAGGCTGCATAAAAGGTCAGACAAGTACCATTGTCTCACACAACTCACGTCAGCAGAGATCTGACCGGAATGCTTCCAGATAGGAAATATTGGGGGGTTGAAGAGAGAAAAAAGACTGTATCCGACATAGTAAAGAGAAATAGGTAATGTTCTCATGAAGAACAGTTTTGATCTGCCCAAAGCCATGCAGGGTGCTTTTAGCTGAAATGGAGTGAGCACAAATACAGGCAAAGCTCTGGGTGGTGACATTTTTCAGCATCGCACATATTGCCTGGACCATCTTCCAAAAGAACTGAAAACCAGCAGGGTTAAAATCCTGGTATCTTATCTACACTCACTCTGTTGCCAACGTACTTGCCTCCTGAAAGAAGTCTAATGGTTATTCGAGCCCATTAGTTCTTTTAAAAGTCCTCTTCTCCCTACCCTCTGCTTCATTTTTCCCCTATTTCAGAGAGTTGTCCATAATCTCTTTCAAGCAGGGATCTTCCGTTAGAGAAACTTCAGAGAATCCGGGGTTATGGACTTCGTTGTCTCTTCTGCTGAAGTGACTGCATTGGTGAGAGGCTGTGAAACTCTTTGGTCTGACCCTTTGTCGCGGTGGTTGTCCATCTTTCCACCACTCTAGTTGCTTAGTATCTGCGCTGCATCCTAAAGCCCTCAGGCTCCCGTGATATTTCGTACTACAGAGAATTTGGACAAGAAAAGAAAAGAAAGAAAGAGTAGCTCTAGGTCAGAAAGCTCCTTTCTCAGAATAGTTCAGTGTGTAGCACACTGCACATGATAGCCCTCTCTCCGTGACACACCAGCCCCCAAGGAAAACCAAACAGGAAGATTTTTGTCAGTGAAAAGTTGACGTCTTTGGAAAGTTAGAAATGCCCAAATCCATGTGAATCTGATCAATCAACTAACTAAACAGATGGTTTTCTTCTCTTAATTGGCAGCTTTTTAAAAGCGGGGTTTTTTATTAAACATCAGGTTTCTGTGTTGCTTCTATCACGGTTTAGGCCTCAATTCTGCAAAACATGTAAATGTATTACAATTAAACAGATTTTCTTCACTAAACAGGCGTAGTTTCTTGCACCACAGAGGTCATTTAAATGAGATTTGAATGGACAATGTGCTTCCTATTTCCTTGATGCTTGCAGAACCCAGCAATCAATCATATCACAATGTAGCACTTCTCAAGCCTCCGCTCCCTCCGCAGCTCCCTTGCAGAGTTCAAGGATAAAACAGGCCGTTTTTTCACAACACACCATCCAGCTAGTGATACGTCTCTGCTGAACAGGCTCTCCTGGGCTATATGAATGCAGAAGCTGTGCTAGCTTTTTCATGGCACTTTACACATGACCCCTTTGCAATGCTGCAGCAACTCTTGCTGCGAACTAGGCAGTGCCAGAGCGGGTGGGAGGACATCGACCCTCTGGGCAGCTGTGCCAGCTTAAGCTGACCGTGAATCTTGCATGAGGCTGCAACTGGGAAGTGCCACTGCAGCACCTATTGACACTACAAGTGGATTAAAAGAAGCACAGGTTGTAAGAGCCTGTGATGCTTGCGTGTGTGCCTGTGCTGGAGGATGTGTTTGGTCAATGTAGACAAATGTCCTATGACACAGCAGAACACTGGGCAGCCAAACTGTTGCTTTGACCCTTGCTTTTCACATATCCCTCCTGTGACTTAAGGATGACTACTGGGGCTTTAGAAAGGTCTTCATGAGTGCTGATCTCTGTCAAGCAAAATTTTTGCAGCTGCAACTACAGTTGTTTGGATGCCTTTATAACACTTTGCCCTTCTAGATCAAGGGAGGACAGACACAGTGGAGTTTAGGTTCCAGCTATGTCTGTAGCCCACAACGCTACAGTTCAGGAACACAATTCCCGTAGGCCTGTGTGAAACACTTACCAAATCATCATAATCTCTCTCCGGAAAATGACCTCTATTTGCAGAATGCATCTCGTATGGATTGTTTGGCTGATATCCTGGGTTTGCATGGCCAGAAGTGGTCTGGACTCTGGGGAATATCATCGTCTGTCTATCATCAGAGGTATTTGGGTTGGAATAGCCTGACTTTATCAGGTGCTTCTTCTCTGGATCTTGTTTGTGTTTGGCTCTTCAGAGGAAATGAAAGAACAAAGGAGATTTTAAAAGACCTTTTAGTGTGCCTCACTTATTGAGTAAGTTCAACTTATTGAGCTGTCCACTCTCAGCTTATTTTGAATGTTCAGTCCTGTTCTGAAACACGCAACAGATTTTTCTAGCATACCTATTGCAAAACCCTTGTTATCAACGATAGAGTACAAAGTTTGGCATCTTTTATCACAGATGGGGCTAAGCTGCTAGGAGAGTCAGAAGCAGATTTTGGCCTCTTTCAACTAGTTCCTAGAGTAAAGGAGTTTCCTGAACCACCACTAGCTCTAACTAACTATTCAGAGGAAGAAACGAGGCATCATTAGGCCCAGTTAAGAAAATTGCCCTCGTGCCTGCAGCCAAAGCTGGACACTCAAATGATGCATTTGAATTGTCTGTGATCACAAGTCCATACGTCGCGCACACACTTGGCACCAGCTTGTGCACCTACTGGCAAGCTATGCCTGCTCTGGGAGGTCTTGTAGGCATCTTTACCTGGGCAGCACTGAGAGCAAAGACAGAGGAGCTGCTTGAGAGTTTCTGTATTTATTGTGTGGAGACAAGTGAGGAGGTGCAACTGCAATTGGGAATTTGCCAGCACACCAGGAATAGCAAGCTTTAAAGACATGCTTGGCTGGAAATGCCACCTATATTGAGCTGAAAAGGGTATGCCAGGCCTTGAACTGAAGTGCTAGCAGGGAAAACTGCAGAGGGTCTGAGTTTAGGTCTTCTGATGTCAGCATCCCTCTTCAGTCTCATCCAGATGCCATATCAGTACCGGCTAGGGCAGGATTAGGATTAATGGGTCAGGTGTCAATGACTTGACTGAAGCTTTCATAGTTGAACTCATAGCAAGAGAATAAATACTGGGAAGAGCACATAAGCAAAACCAAATTTTAATGGCTACATGACTTAATTGAACTTGTCTGCACAGCTAGGTGTGCAACCACATTGGCAGCCCTGCCCCTCTCTAAATTTCTGCTTAGTTTTCTACAAACATGCAGCAATGCAGCTTCTATTCAACTGTAAGAAATACTCTTACCTTACTGAAACAATAGAGACTGCTATCACTAAACTCAGGATGATGGCTCCAAACACTGTACCCACTATTATAAGGATGAGTTCCCTGTCTGGAAAACAAAACAAAACAAGAAACATCAATTGAAAACTCATGGTAAATATTGAAAACTAAGTCCTGGTCCTGTCCCTGTTCTCTTACAAAGAAAGAAAGAAAGAAAAGAAAATATGAAAGAAGATGTTATTCATTCTCAGGCTCCTGGTACTGTCTCAGTACAACTGTCTGTGGACACATAAAGATGTAAATTAAGGAACTGATCTGCATTAAAGACCATCACTTCTGGATGGCTATGTTGATCCTAGATCAAGTTCCTAATCCCATGCACTGAATGGCTTCACACATAGCTATAGCTGAGGGATAGGAACAACTGGGAGGGTGTAGGGGTAGCTTAAGCTAGTACTGCTGCTAAAATATGTATTCAGGTGTCAAATAGGCTCTTCCCATGCCCTAAGCACAGAAGGCACAGTGATTTGAGGTGTCTATCATGTGGCATTATGAACACCACATAAATATCCCATATCTGAATAAATGTTTGGCAAGGAAAATTCATTTTCACTGATCTTGCTTAAAGAACTAGCATGACTAGGGGAGGAAGACAAGGATTCTGCATATCTTCCTTCAACTGTGAATGGAATTGCTACTAAAACTTAGTCTTAGCTCTGCATAGCCATGGTAAGGAAAAAAAAAAAAAAACCAACTCTGTCCTGCGGGACATAATTTCAAGATAAGGGTGTGAAGAGTAAGACAGTCTCTTGGGCTACCCAACCTTACTGGTGGTACCTACTTGAAGATCCCAGTCTGGATTTATGAGTTTACCATTTAATACACTGAATGCCTGTACTGGAGACGATACACAACATGAAGCCACCAACTGTGCCATAATCAGTAGAACAATCTAGCACATTTAATTATAGGAGCATACATCGAGACAACAGAGAATATGATTTCTTGAAAGAACGTTATGCCAAACACATGTGTAAAGTATCCTTGGTTATTCATCAAATTTTTTATATCGGTATCTACCAAATGCCATATGGAGAAGATGAGGCTATTAATGGAGATTATCATTAGCAGGTCGCAAATTGGTGTTCAAATTCACAATGTGTTGATTTTTGTGCCAATTTAGCATTTTCATTTGCTTTATAAAAAAGGCCTTAAAATTCCTAAAACTTCCTCTAGAAGAATATGTTCCATGTGATTAAAAATATCCTTCCTGCCAAACATTTACACCTGGCAAGATTCACTGTGCTGCACTACAACTACCATTAGCCAATCTCCAAAACTTCAGGCAAAACCAGAAGAAAACCCTTGAAGATCTCATAGCTGCAGACACAGGTATGTTAAACATGTATAAGTTTAAGAATGCAGCAGTGTGCGACTCCAAAGGGCCACATGAAGATATAACTTTTGCTCAAATAGAGCCAAAGGAGTGCTGAGAAGTGAAGAACCATAACTGTTTGGTTTTCAACCTGCCTGTAACTCTATTAGATGTTCGGAGTTTAGGCACATGCAGACACTAGAAGACATGAAGAATGTCCTCTCCTAATCTATATGATGCTGGAAAGTGGAAAAAGTGCAGTAAAGAGCTGCAAAACTGACTCAGAAAAGGAAAAAAGTTTTGGAAGGCCTGTCTGGTTAGCCTGTCCAGATGATTACAATTATGGGATAACACAGTCAGGGCCATAATCTCTTCACCAGTATAGAGTACTAGATACTATGCAGTGCTTGCAAGGTAAAGCACAAACAAGAACCAGTGGTTGGATATTAACGCAGAAACATTTCAAATGAGAGTAATCCATGGACATTTTAGTAGAGGGAGTGATTAATTACAGGAGAAACTAATCCATTAGTGGTGCTGAGTTCAGCATTGCATGTCTTTAGACGAGGACTAAATGCTTTTCTGTCAATTAACCTGTGTTTGACTAAAAACTACTGGGCTTAATGCAGAGGTCATTAGAGGAAATACTACTGTCTGTCTGAACATGAGCTTCAAGAAGGATTTTTCCTTCCAGGCAATAGTGGAATTTCACTAATTGTTTTTCTAACATTTTCCTTCTATTAATACAAGATGGTGGCACCCCTAAAGGCTACTACGTTTTATTTTTGCTATCTCATAAAGATTAAAAATTACCAGGTATTTTTCCATGCTATAATTAAAAATAAGAAATTCTTGTACTTACCATTGTTGCAGTTCTCCCCAGAGTAGCCCACTGGACAGCTACATGAGAGAAAAAAGAAAAAAGAAGAAAGAAAGAGAAGAAAGTTGATGTCATTAAGCAGATGATCTTGAAGGTCCCTTCCAACCCAAACCATTCTATGATTCTATAATCACGGAACAATAGTATATTTCCAGCTTTTATCAGCAATTTCTCCACAAGGTCTGTTCATTACAGGTCTCCTGTTTAATGCTATCTTAATGTTGAATTCTTTAGTCACTTATTGTTAGAGTAAAACAATTTGGGATTTTCAGAATGATTGGTGAGCTGCGCACTCAAAGTTTCAGGTTCTCAGCCTGAATAATGTTAAAAGGGACTAATTTTGCTAAAGAACTAAGCCCTACACCTCTGAGCCACTTGGAATTGCTACTCACTGTCTTTATCAAAAGCCTCAATATAAGGTCTATAAGGACTGGCAGCTCTTTATCTTCTTCCCATACTAGTTTCTTATATTTAAAATATATCAGCTTTACAGTCAGAAGTGTTCTGTGTGTAGCACCAATAACTACAAAAAGAGCTGAGTTAATGGATATGGGGAGTAAGGTCCCTCTGCTTATCCACGGGAGCAGAGCACAACCAGTCACTTACTGAGCTTCACCAGCAAACAACGCTGCTCTCTTCTGATCCTGCGCTGACAGAAATACCCGCAGAGAGAAAACTAAGACAAAATAATATAGGTCTGAAAGTTATCAGGAAACAGAGTCGTCACTGATATCAGTGGGATCTTTCCAAGGATTTGAGGCAAGTCTTGCTCTAATGCCTGTTGCTTACTAAACGCTTCAGCATACCAGTTCCCATGGCTCAATTACTCTGAAGGAATAGTTTACTTTTGTATGGGCAACTCACAAAATAAGTGTGAAGTAGTTTATCCTCCTCACCGACTCACAGATGACCTTGCATCTCCTCTGAGGTGTTATGAGTGCACACCAACAGCTAAAGCCAAGCAGTTAAAATGCCATAACTTGTAACACCATGGGAATTTGTCCACCTGCCAACCACCTTAGGCACCTCTCTGAGCACATGCTCTCTGATTCAACCTGTTCTTCTAGATTGAGGGTGACCCTGTGTTAAGTGTTCTTCTCTGTTATCTCTGCCTAGAACACAGGAACGCAAGAAATATCTGAGCACTCACGGCACACATTTTTCATTCTTCTTTTCAAAGTTAGGCTTGCATTTGCATATTGGAGCCCCATTTTCTTTTGCACAGTACTCGTTTTCTTCTGCAGAACAGTCTTTACTGCAATCTGTATTTTCAGAGGGAAAAAATACAGTGTGAACTGAAGACAGCCCCAAAAAAATCAACATTGGAGAAAATCCTCCCCTTCTTTTTTATCGCACTGTAAACACACACAACTTTGTTGTGCTTCAAAGCACCAGAATGGCTTTTTTGGGGCTATACCTATGTAGAACAAAAACTGAAATACAAAAGCACAAAATTAGAAGTAAACGGTCTTTGTTTAAAACCATCCAGCTTCAGCAGAATGAAAATCTGGCTAGGCTGCATCTTACATAGGCAAGCAATGACCTGCAGTTTGACCTCATAGCACATGATTTGTATTGCAACTGATCTAAACCTGGATCAGATTTAGACAGGTTAGGGGCCACAAAGGCCTAAACAGGATCACATCTCACTGGCCTTTACTGTAGCCAGCTTTCATGATTTTATCTGGACTGTTTGTAATGTTTGTTGTTTTTCTTAAAAATCTCATATCTTAGGCTTTTTTTCTGTAGTATGAAAATTTTAGTTTTCATAGGAAGAAAATAAGGTACATCTTAGGCTGTGGAGGATAGCTAAAAATATAAACAGAGTAATTAAAAGATTCAAAACCAACAGGCAAATAAAACCCCAACAACTAACCGTTCCTAAAAATCACATAAATCATTCTTCCCACAAAAACCTGTCTAAACACAGCTAATGCAATCCTAGAACTACCAACAAGGGACAGAGCTTTGACAGATCATTGTAGTGCATCATGAGACTTCCAGTTCTGTCAGCGTTCCCATAGCTGCCTTCAGGTAGCATGTGGAATTTATTCCTAAAATATGTCCTAGCAAAGAAGGCTGTGAATATAGGATTCAATTTATTCCATCCTTTACCTGTTTAGGTTTCAGTTCTTACCAAGAGTTTAACAATGCATTTAAAGAGTTTCATACTCACTGGTTCCAGTGATAATTTTCTCAGGCTTTAGTAGTTTATTCTACTGGAATAGAATTATGGATGTGTTTAAAGTGAACTGTGAGAATGTGTTTCTGTGGCTTTCTTAATAAGACACACATTCCTTGATTTTTTAGAGGTCAGCACATTTGCAGAGCGACCTTTTCAAAAAGGGACTGAGACAGGGAATAACCAGGTCAGCCTTTCAGGGATAGATAAAGTAGTAAGGGTCTTACCTGAACAAGAACGATCATCCCATTCTGTCTTTGAGAAATCACTTTTGCATATGCATTTTGGAAACATACTTTCTTGGCAGTCTGTGGTTTGAGCATCACAATTAAAAGCAGCACAATAGGTTGTAGCTTTAAAAAAGAAACAGTAGGAAGAAAACCTATCATTTCACAGAAAGCAGTGCACTTGCTCAGTAAATCATAAACTAATTATTTAGCAATTTTGAAAAAAACCTTGTAAGTCCTTTTCTTGGGTCATCAATACTGCAGACGTTTGGACCAGCCCTTTCTTTTCCCTTGCTCTTTACCAGTTAAGGTCTCATTTCCATCACATCTTCTGACCCTCTGTTTCTCAACCTCCTACAACTGCCTCCAAACCTTCCTGCCCCCCAGCCCACAAAGAGGGAAATTCTACCCATAAGCTCTTATTCTAAATACTGACATTCTGACTCACCTTAAAAAAATTACAGAAAAAATCCAGCACTATTCTCTTAGTTTTTTCTACAACTGAACTGTGAGGCCTAAATTCCATAGAGTTCTACACAGATATAATTTTTTGTGGGCATGCAGCTCATTTCATGAGCAATATTTGTATGCTGTTTGCCCAGCATGTTGCTCTTTAGATCCATATCCCAGTGGTGGGAATGGTTTACAAACCTCAGTGGGTGGCATGCAGTGGAAGGATGTGATTGCACTGGTGCTTTGTGAGCTCTCAGGTTTTTTCTATTCCCCCCTCATGTTTAGGACCAGCATACAGGAAATGTCATGATTGAGATGGGTACAGTCACCTTCAGAGACCAAACTCAGGCTATGAGCCATGAAATGGGCTCCTTTAATTATTAGCTTCGCCTTTTGCAAAAACTGTTTTCAAAATAGGAGCATATTGAAAAAAAAAAAATCCATATTTTATTTAGGAATTAATTCTTCAAGTATTATACTTTCAGTATCGCAACACTTTACTGGTTTAGATGAATGAATCACTCGGCTCAGTAGCTAATCAGTGAGGCCTCATTTCAATTACCATGTTTAATTATGGAAGAAGTCATCTAAAGAGAATTTCATCCTATTTTGTCAGTAAAATACTGGTTTATTCTCAGGAGCACAGCATATGTCTGTATATATTTTGTCCTAATTTTTCCAGCCACTTAACACTCAGTCGGTTAAAATCAACATGCCATTGCTTACTTGAGCATAAGTATTTTCCTTCTCTTCTTTACACAGGAAGTAGAAAGTCTTAATAGGACAAAAAAAGCCCAGCACTGAATGGTTAAGTCTTCAAAATTACCTGAGACTGAACATTCAGATCCTCAAAATCAAGAAGACTTATGCTCTGATGGACTTTGCTGCACATGGAAATGTTCTAACCAACCTTGAAGATAGGAACCCCTGTTTCTACTGATTATTTACTTCCACAGTAAGAAATTACATACCTCTGTACTCAAAGACATAGGACGAACTGTTTGTTGCATTATCTATTGCAGCAATAACTGTCTCATTGTCTACAGTTGAGTTCTCCGTAAACAAGTTTGTCACTGTTACCCTCACTGAAGAAGAAGATCTGTCTTCTTGTAGAAGTCTGAAAAGTACAGATAGCATCATTTTAAAGTCTCATATTATCCATATGGATAGCAATCTAGATGCAAAGACAAGTGAAGATTTCTGTCAAACTTCCCTCTCTCCCCAGGTTCTTTCATCTCACAATGTAGGTAGTTGCTAAGACACCTGAAAATGGGTTCAAGTCTTGCTTAGGAATACATTAATGGCCATCTTTCCAGTAGGTCCAGATGTAAATATGTAGTTGGTAAGCAAAGGCTGTTGGATTTAATGCTAACAACATCACTCCTTTGTGTGCTGTTGGCACGCAACTGGTATTTTTTTACTGGGCTAACCTCAGGCTGGCTGCAGTGTGGAGGACTTCATCTGTTAAACCCTAACTTTTACATGCTCGCATCAGTCTGTAGTGTCATCCAGGCATGACGTGGAGAACCCATCCTGAAGCATGGTGAGGATAATTCAGAGTATGACCACAATGAATTCAGAACAGTCTGTTTGCAATGTAGAGGTATCTATCCTAACCCCATGCTAGCTGGGTTGGATTTAGCTGGACTGCAATCTCCCTGGGGTGAGGTGAAGAGCATCAGTGACTGCCCTGTTCTTCAGCTGAACTTCGTGCTGCTGGGATATGCACACAAATACCTTTAAATGGTAGATTGCTGTGGTACCTTAAGATGTTACTGTGCCCCATGTGTTTGTCACAACCACTCTGCTGGAAGTTACTGCCTTCACAACTCTGCTAGAACAGTTTGCTTAACTGCTTGATCCATGAGGTTCGCTGAAAGGGTTTACACCACTGTGTGTGCTAGCATGCCAGGTTTTGTTTGATGTGGGTTAGGAAGCCCTCACAGAGAAGCTGGCAAAGCTCTGGGAACAGTAAGCTGTAACAGTGGGGATGGGAAGAGAGGGACATCTTGCAGTGTCCACCTAGATCAGCAAAGGACCTATGGCCACAGCCCATTCAATAACATCTTTGCTCAGCCTGTCATTAGGAGAGACCAGCGAATGCACAATGAGATGCAGTGGTCTTCTGTAATGAGGGTGTTTCTTAAATTAAACTGGGACTCCAAGTTGGACTTGTTCATAGGAACCTCAGAGTTAACTGTTACAATTTCAGAGACATGTCAGGTATCACAGGGATTGCTAGCTGTAGCACAGTGCTATATCCTACATGGTGTTAAAAGTGGGACATCCTCTGTGGAGGTGTCTCAGCCAGCTCACTTCACAGACATATTGGAAATCCATGGGGTAAAAATGGGGCCAGCATCCCAGAAACTTTAAAAATACAAAAAGAAAGTCCTCCTTTAACAGGAGGCATACTGATCTGAACCCATTCCATATCCTTTCTTGGACTGAATACTCCATGGGAAACAGATTAAAATGGGATGTGTGGGAAGCGTGTACCGTGCAAAAACCACACTGGCAAACTTACTCAATTGCCACGATGACAGTCTGTTTAAAGCCTTCTAAGTCTCTGAAGGCATCCTCAAACTATAAAAGATAAATGAATTGGAATTAAAGGCAAGCAGAAACATAGACCAAAATCACATGAACCACTGAGGATTCAGCTGTAATGTTTTAACCCAGAACATGCTACTATAGGCATAAATAAAGCAAGCTGATCTGTCACATCCACTGTACAGAGTATTGCAGAAGAGGAGCAGTGGGGTGGTGCTGTAGAACAGGGAATGTGGGAGAGCAGTGGAGGGATGGAGACACACGAGTTGAATGAATGCCAAGCACTGCATTAGGGTTGACTGGCTGGATAGCTACAGATATTCCCTTGCAGATTCATGGCTTAGAAAGGTGTCTCCACAGTACCAACCTACGTACAAGTAGAGGGAAAAGGGAGAAGTAGGCATCCTTGCAGATGGCATGTATCCCTAAGATGCAGTGAAGTGGGATCCTCAACAGCTGATCTTGTGGGGAGAAGCAGAGCACTGATAAAGCACTGGGGGATGGATGGCGTCAGTAGAAAAGTCACTGCTCTCCCTCATCCCATGTGAAGCAGGAAACAACTGGTGGAGGCAGCTGCCTCCAGCTGCCACACAAGCAGGAGGCACCATGAGAAAAGGATAAGACGTCTAAAAGTCAGCTGAAATGAAAGATAAACTTCCCTTCTTTGTAATAAAATAAAAATTATTTTCTATGCTATTTTCACTTTTGCATACTATTACATATCTATTCTAGTGCTGCATATCATGGCTTCTGCAGCCATGTCATGAAAAAATGTTGGACAAAAAAATTGAGGAAAGTATTTTTCAACATTCTGGAGGGACAATTTTTGGTTACTTTCTGATAAAACATTCATAGGAAGCAATATAATAACATGAAGAATTTGATAACCATTTTTGAGGAGTTCTGATAACATTTGGTAAATTATTTTTTTTTAATCAGCTGTCTGGTAGAGCTGCATCTCTCTTCTTCCTTACTTCCAGAAAGCAACATAAGCAAATCCACTTGTTTCAAAACGGCAGTATAAATTAAACTGTTCATATTATTTCTTCAGGAAACCCATTACCAGATTTTATCTATAATGGCAGAATGCTCACAATGTGTAATATCCAGTTCACTAATCGCATTAAAATACTAATACTGGTATGCTTATGGAAAAGGCTTATTATTTAGGTATTTAGAGACAGCTGGACAGCCATTCTGAACAGTTTGTGCCGTGTGTACATGATAGCTTTCTTTAAAAAAAAAAATTGTTCATTTTTTCTTATACCACTGAGTACTACTGAGCCCTCACTCAGTGAACAGTGGAGATCAGAAACTAAATGGATTGGCAAACTTCACTCAGCCCTGCGGTTTCTGGAGAGGGAATGGTGAAAGGTACAGAGCAACTTATGTGAGAACTTCCCAGAATAGAGTGGCACTAAAAATGCAGGTATTAGTTATTTCAGGTACATTCCTTCACTTCAGCTGGAGCCATGCATGTACCCATCTGAGAGCAAAATTCAAGTGTATTATGAACAAGTCTAAACTAGTGTGAAGCATTCATTGAAAGAAGTAGATTTCTCAAGTGAAACTATTCTAGGCTGCACATTAAAGGCAGCGCGTATCCCCTCTGTCTTCATCACATTCAGTATAGCATTAAATATACAGAAAAAAAAAACCCAAACATCATCACTCACAAATTGGTTTAGTTTTTGGAACAGATCTTGATACTCCATGGAAGTTACAGCTGGAACACTATTAAAGTAAAATCCTTTCAGTGTAACGACCCCTGGGTATATTTGCCCTGGAATGAGAACAGAGAATATTAATTAATTAGAAAGCATTCAAGAAGCATTCAAGTCAAGAAAGCATTCAAGAAAACATTCAAGAAAGCATTCAAGGTTTCACCTTAGAGTTCTGCAGCCTTCAGAGATAGGGAAATACAATGCAAAAATAATCAGTGCTATTTTTCATATACTGGAGGAATCGGTAGGGGACAAGATTTTGCCCACTCAAATCAGGCACAATGAGGGCTGTACTCTGGCTACTTGGGAAGCAGGCAGGATCCTGGGCTCAACCAAACTGGCCAGACTTTGAAACTGAATAATGTTAAACTGTAAGCATGGCCTGAAGCTAACAAAAGACTCCATCTGAGATGTTAACAGCATTTAGTGAGAAAATACCTATATTAAGGATTCCAAATTTGCAGCCAGTAAGCAGCTAACATGGTTCACCATATCTGAGAAAGCAATTCAGTGTCTACCTGCTTCTTTAGGTTCACAAGTAAATTTGAGAATCCTGCTTGCTGGCATTTAAATAAGAAGCTCCATTTGCTCACACGCTTGGCCTTCAGTAGCATCTCAGAAATGCATTTCAACAGGACTGTGATGCGTGTTTAGTAACAGGGAAAATCAAGCCGGCTGTTCAGAGGTCTTCATAGGTTTGGGCCTTTTTAAATCCTGGTCATTAATATTAATGTCAGGTTTACACTTGCATTTTTTCCTGCTTTTCACTCAATTTAATCTCCAGCACCCCTGACAGAGAACTCACCTTCTTTTCCTAGCATATTAACCTCTTTGGCTGTTACTGTTTTGTGAGATAGCAATCTAGGTCATTGTAGCAGTGGCTGTCTGCAAAGCAAGGCATTATTCAGCAGCCACTTTCCCAGACTGATTATGTTTTCAGTTATAACATGAGAACAAGGGATATGGGAAGAAAAAATCACCTAAACAGTTATCTGTGAAGTAATTAAAAATATAAATTGCCCTTCTGCAACTCACCTCTGTAACAATCGTCATTGCTAAAGTAGAATCCATATTGGCACTGGCAGGTAAAAGTAGTATTTAAAGCAACACATTCAGCCAATTTTTTTCCACAAGGGTCTGGGTTGCAGAAGTCCCCTAATACAAAGATGAAATATAGACGTCAGGATTTCTACGAAATTGCAATAGCCAGTTTGTATATACAGTAGTTCTTATATTAAATAGTTCACATATACTTATATTAAAGGAAACTACCAGGTGTATTTTATAGAGGTGCAATTAAAGACTGCTTGGCTATGTCTTGCTTGCTTAACATCTGTATAGTAACTGTTTTCCCACACAATCCAGCGGGGTATCACAAGTGAGGCCAGAGAGTAAGGCTGAGATTTGTTATCTGTCATACTGAGCATTGACAATTTAACTCCACTTAATACAACTAAAACCAAAACAAACAAACAAAAATATATCAAGGATTGCCAAAAATCAGTGACTAAGTTAGAAAAAGGCCGACTACAATCGTCTGTGCATCTTCAATACTGCACTGGTATGTACTTGCCTTACTATAATACACTGTCATGGTAGAATCTTTTACTGCAGACACATCAATAAAATGAAGGCTCCCAAGTTAATCATCATAATATACATACCATAATATGACTAACTATATTAACTGGCCACTATACCGTACTCCTACAGCAGGAAAATTTCGCGGAATTGTGCTGACTGCTGCCTTCTACTTACCCGCTGTAGTTGTTACTGAAGATGATACTGTGTTCGTTCCTGGAAAAGCGAAAATAATATGTCAGCCTTGTTAGCGCTTTGGTTACACTTCCATCGAAGGCAGCATGGTATGATGCCTCAAAACCTTTCCCAAACCTGCTTCTACCTTGTCCTGTACTCTAGCCAGTGCCTTGCCCTTATTTCCTGCAACTTGTTGCTCAGTGTGATTTACCCTGCATGCCTGCCTGTGATACCTCCTCTCTGGCAACCTCCCTCTCCACTTGATTTTCCCTCTCCCTGCAAATTTTCTCTGTTTGAAAGCTCTGCAGGCTCCACATGCCTCTCCCCCAATGCCAAGCTAGTCTTTGCTACCCCAAGACCAGGGCAAGGTTCTTGTTTCCACCCTCACAGCATCTGCAGTGTATCCAGAGCATCCTGTGTCTTATGCCCCTGTCCTTAGCCAACCCAGGTCCTCTTCACCTCCAACATGTTTAAACACTTGGAAGACTAGTAGCACTACAAGAAAACTTCCAGCTAATCTTTCCTTGAAAGCCACCTTGTGAGAGGCTAGCCTGGAAACATGCACAGCAATAAGAAAGAGAAAACTCTTGGAAAGATGTGATAGAAAATCTACCAGAAGAAAGAAATTTAGGGAGCCGGAGGGCATTAGAATAACCTCAAATATATTTTAAATTTAATTTTTTTATAGGGTATGTTTTTTGCCAAAAATGGTCACAGTTATACTTTCTCTAAGTAATTCTATATTCTGTAAGGATTTTAGATTATGTATTTCATATCTATACATAATTTATTAGTTTATAAGTAATTAAAAGTTATATTTCAATATGCATAATATATAGGACGCTAATTACAGTTCTTTTCCAAGTCACCAAATACTGCTTTTCACCCTGCCTGGTTTCTTGCACTTAACTCCATAGGTATGTTCTCATAGATGAGGCAGAGATTTTTTTATGCAATGGGGAAAAATAGAGTAACTCTTTTTCATCCCCCAAAAAGTGGAAAGGAAAATATTTAATGAAGATTCATTGGCTAGAGGGTTCATCTCCAGATATTGTATTTCCAGAGCTCCTATTGAAGCCAAATTCTTTTTCTGGAGGAAGGTATCCCAAGCAGAAAGCAACAACGCTTGTGAAATCAACCCCAATGCTTTCCCCTTGCAGCAAATGTCAGCAGGGAAGAGTGGAGGGGAGACACAGCATTGACTGGGGGCTCTTTGCCCTGGAATGTCCCACTGGGATGGTGGCTTGGTGGGGCATGGATAATTCCAGGCAGAAACCGCTCCATGGGCCCGCAGCAACTGCCCCTAGCACTCAGCCATATGCTGGTGTGTGCCCCGGTTCCTTCCCTGATCGTGCTCCAAGCAGCCACAGAAACAAATCCCTGCAGGGCCTGGTCATGGTCTTGCCCTGGGCACCTTATCTGCACGGATCCTCTTGCACCTGGGACTGGTGCGGGAGGCAGAGGCACCAAGCAAGAAAAGAGCAGCCGCTTCAATCTTCCCCAACGCTTTCTCCTTGCAGCAAAGGCCAGCAGAGAAAGAGGGAAGAGTGGAGAGGATTCACAGCCTTGATCTGGGCAACTGTGTCTCCCCTGCACGGGAACTTGGTGAAACTCAGGCAGGGGAACGCATCCCTGCCTGTGGGTACTGTAGAGCTCTCTGGGACTGAATGACTCCAATCTGTCCTCAGAAGGGGCTGACTGAAGGCTTTTGCTCCTTACCTGTACTTGGGGTTGTTGTCGCAGGTGTGGCATTAGTTGGTTCAGAGTTGTTTCCTACTGAAGGGAAAAAGAGATGTGGCAGGACTGCTTAGTGTTGTGTGTGGGAACAGTCTTGGGGAACTCTGCGTGTGTAGGACAACCTCTGAGCAGGTAAGTGGGGGACCTGCATGGGGTTGAGCGGCCAAAGCCCTCGGCAGCCTTGCCCTGCCTTTGAGCTCTCCCTGGCCATGATGCCTGTGTAGGCTGACATGTCCATGGCCCCTTCCCTGTAAGATCCCAAGGGCTTAAGCACATGCCCCACACCCGCCGTGTATTGGCCCCAGCTGGACACTGCCAGCTCAGCCACGGGTACATGCATGTGTCCCTGTAGGAAGCTCCTCTGCCTGCCCAAGGCAGCACCCCATGGCCAGCACTGGCTGCCAGAGCATCTTGAGGGCACCCTTCAGCCTCAGAATGTGCTACACGTGATGGCCTGCTCAGCAACACTTGTTTTGGTAAAACTATGAAACAGCAGCTGTTCTGCATGGCAAGGATATGTGAAACAGATGTGGGTCTTGGGGCCTGGTCAAAGAGGCAAAAGCACCGAGTAGGACGGGATGGAGTTGCCAAAATCATCACCAAGACTTTCCCCTTGCAGCAAAGACCAGGAGGGTCAGAGAAGGAAGGCAAGAGAAGAGATGCAGACTTGATCTGGACTCTGTGACTCCAGCAGCAGAGGAGTTCTGGGAAACCCAGGCAGGGAACTCGTCCGTGTCGGTGGGAGCTGCAGAGCTCACAAGACTGAGTCACTGCAACGTGTCCTCAGAAGGGTGTAACTGAGGGGTTTTGCTCCTTACCTGTAGTTGGGCTTGTCACCATAGGTGAGGTGCCAGTTATTGTATCATTATTTCCTGTTGAAGAGAAAATAAGAGAGATGATGGTTTTGCTTAGTGTTGTGTGTGGGAAACGTCTTGGGGAACTTGTGCTCCAGCGAGCCTCATTATCAAATCCCTGCAGGGTGCGATCAAGGGCTTGCCCTGGACACCTCGTCTGCAGGGATTCTCCTACACCTGGGACTGGTGGGGGATGCTAATGCATGAATCGGGAAAGAGCAACCTCTGCAAATCTTCCGTAACACTTTCTCCTTGCAACAAAGGCCAG